ACAACCAGGGGCACAAATCCCTGTAGACACAACACAACAAGCTTTTAGAAATGTAAATGTATTGACGACACAAGGATGCTCTTTGTTGTCAAAGTGGGTTTTTTTTTTCCTTTGTCAGAAAACGGTTCTTATGAATCACTGCTTTGAAATGAATCAGAGTTTGCTCTAAATATCACTTGGTCTGTGAGATAAGTAGGTGGAGTTGATGGAAATGAAAGGAGGCTTTTGTTATGGTTCAGGAAAACTACATCGCTCTGATTTCTCTTTTATCCAACACACGGCAGTAAAACAGACAATGCCCTTGCAGTTTAAAGTATCTGGCCACCAGACCTTTTTCAGTGTCTGTGGTCCCAGGATTAGACACTCAGCAGCCAATTGACACGCTCACCCCACATTAGTCTCCCATAATAAAGAAATGTACTAAAAAAATGTTGTTGAGCATCACAAGAGCATAAATATTGCACAGATAAAATGGAACCCACCTTGGTTGACCTGACAATAGTTTATAGCAGACATCTTTTTGTTTTAGGAACTCACAAGCCCAAAACATTTGGCGCCAGAGTAACAGAGAGGAGAATTAACTCCAGCACTGTTAAAGAACATGTTGCTGGTCTGACTACAGAGGCTTACCAGTGACCCGACTTTACGGCTCATCTGGAACACATTTAACACACAAACACACAGTATTTATGCGGAGCTGACAGCTGACAGAGGGGTACCTGCCTGAGTGAAATATAACTTTCAGTGTATCCAGTGTGCACCCCTCAAAAGAGACCCCAACTGGAATGCTTTAGATTTGGATTCTTTCCATGTGTGATTTTCCATATGCTGAGTCTCATCTCTCTGCGGAGAGGCAGACAGGAACAAAGGGTTAAGGGTCTCCGGCTAAGTAGTGAGATTTAACTTTTGCTGCTCTGTTTTGTTTTATGACTTGAAGGGAGCAGACTGGGTCTGCTGAGGTGGTTTTTTTCTGCTTCCCTGGTCAGCTTTGAAGGTGAGGGCCCCTCTCTCCCCAGGGTCATAACTCCACAAATGAATGTCTGGTGGTGGGGAGCGAGGGGGGCCTCAGCACACACAAAAAGGTTTCAGGGAAACTAGCGTGTTACTACTTAACCAGCTTTTAAACCATCTATTTTATAATGGTCAAAAAGAAATCCAAATTCTGAAGTGAAACACACAAATAGAGGCACTATATGGAAATAAGAAGTGTTGCATTATTAACATGAACTCGTTTCATGTTTTATTTTTGCAGTACAGATGCTAAAAGATATTTCAATTTTCTGTTTAAGGATAGGTTTAGTATGTGTGTGTTTGTGTGAGTGTGTGTGTCAGATGAGGGATATGCAGGAACACAGCAGGAGTCCCTGAAACATTTTCCAATGAAGCTCAGTCAGCAGTGAAAAATGGCTGGGTGTAACTTGGAAAAAACACTGATTGTCACCCCAATCGTGAACTGAAATGACCTGGCAACAAAGTGGAAAATGAGCTGTTATGTGGGACAGGCAGCACTCATCCCCGAGTCTTGTGATGGCTTGCATTATTGTGCAGAACAAGAGCAGCGGAATGGAAGCTGCAAAACATAACCTACATATTTTTACAATCTTACCAAGTATGCGGTTTCCATACATTACAAATATATATTATATATAGGAAATATTAAAATACTAATCAAGCAAAACATTTAAAAAATAATGGTTTTGTATAGATTTAAATGATATAGTGGCAGCTGTCTTGTTTCCAGATGTATAAAAATTGTGTATAACTTATAATTAACTGATGAAAGCAAAATGCAGTGTTCTCAGTGCATTGAAATGCTGCACTCGGTGTCCAGCTTGTGGCTATAGCCTTTCCTCTTTCTTTAGATGGATGACACCCTGTGGCCATACTTGGTGACTGCATAGCTTTTTTTTAGAGCAGACTGAAGCACAGTGAGTGGAACACAGCTGAACTCTTATTTTGATGTTGGAGAGCCTTAATGGAAAACAGAAAGCCTCCGACTATATTGTTAAAGAAATGTCAGTCCTACTTGAAGAACTGACGATGTGTTTATTATTCTGATATTGAAATGAACAACGCTTTAATTGAATGTTTAGTGCTGGATTCTTTAGATGTTATAATAAAGTTCTATGTGATGAGCTTTTAATGTTCAAAGGAAATTTGCCATGTCTCTGGCCCACGATGGCAGTTAGAGGAAACTGTTTTAAATATTTAGATGTTAAAGCCTGTGCACAATTATTCTCCACTTATACAAGTGTTTTCACTTACGCACCTCTTTGGGCCTTTTCTGGGGACAATTTAGGAATGTAGAAGTGCTCCATAAAAATCTGCACACTCCCTGCTCTTGGTTTTGTTGCACCTGTCAAATTCACAATTTCTCCTCACCTACAAAATCATGAGTAGTCGGGCCTCGTCATATCTTAATGACCTCATTGTTAGCATGTTATACTTCGTTATGCTGCAGTAAGCTTAGATTTCTGCAGCTTCCCATCATGCTAAGCCTTTCTTCTTTCACTCTTCATATGTTTATACATCACTATTGTTCAATCTCCCCCCACCCCCAGTCAGTAGCTGCAGATGGCCGCTCCTCCCTCAGCCTGGTTCTGCTGGAGGGTTCTTCCTGTTAAAAATCAGTTTTTCCTTCCCACTGTCACAAAGTGCTTGCTCTAGGGAGTAGTCTGATTCTTGAGTATTCTAATATTATAGGGTCTTTATTTTATAATATAAATCTCCTTGATGAGTCTTGTTGTAAATGTATGTTATGTGAATAAAACTGGATTGAATTGCAGACATTAGATTAGGAAAACTTCATCCGGTTATACGCTGTTTATAGTTTTATAGACTGTTTATAGTTTACAGTCTGAAATGTACACACGGTGGATCAAACAGCAAGTTTGAGAGGTTGTAACTTGGAACAAGCTTCTAGTCACTACAATCACTTCAGCCTGGCACTTTCCTGCTATCTGTTCTGCTTCTATTCTTTAAAATGGTAATAAATGCAAATTGAGAGTTACACTATTATATCAAAATTAAGTCAAAATGAACTCGACATGAAACAAGAGAGGCAGGATCTACTACTCTACTACTAACTTATTATTCTCATTAACACACAGTTTGAAGAAACTGTAATTTCACCTTAAACTAACCGGGCACATAAACACAATTTGACTGAAACAATTTGAAACTGTCTTTTTCCTGTTTACTGTCCTTTGCTACAGTCTCCAACATACACTGCACTTGCTATCTTTTCCAGCCATGGTTGATAGTATAAAAAATAGCAAACACATGATCAAATCCAAAGATCTAACAGAGAAACAATGTATCATAAAAAAGAACTTATAAAAACATCTTTATTACAATTTGTAGAACATTTTAGGCTTTTACGAGGGGTTGACCTGCCAGATTTGACATGGCTGTCTGGAATGGTGCCGTAGAGGAGTAATGTATAACTGTACCAGAAGATGGAGACACAGACTGTTATCTGAAACCTTTACAGCCAGTGGAGGCGTGTGGACAGAGCCTTTATTATCACTCTGCTGAGAACCATCAAGACGGCCTTGGGGAAAAATTTATGAAGGAGATCAGAGCAGGAGAGCAGATGTTTGTATGATTTTAGAACAGGTGGTGGTGGTGCACTCGCAGCATGTGTATCAGTTGGACTTTGCACTGTTAAACAGCTGACGCACTGTATGAGCCTTGGGGAGGATCTGATCTTGTCTCCAACTGTCTGTTGTGTGAAGAAAACAGCAGCTAAAAGCAATAAAATCAAGACCAATGACCAACTAAGGTGGAAATCAAGTCAAATACAAGACTAAAGTCACCTTTGTGTACAAGCATGTGACACTGCAAGCATTTTAGTTAGGCGGACACATTGTGGCGTATTTTATTAAAAGCGATAGACAAGCAAACGTTTTCAAAGTACAACAGTGAATTATCTCAGAATAATACAAGTCCTAAATGACTGTAATTGCAACCTCCTGCTAGATAAACCACTTGTACATCATTATGTTTTACTTCTGCATGTCAGAAAATGAAATGTAGATAACCAGCCAATTAGAGAGTTATGATAAACAATAAGGAGGCTGAAGGGGACTTACTGAGAAAGCGACAGAATCTTTAACCTTGAAATCCCAGCAATCCTCATATCAGCAGTGATGCTTTACACACAGTACTATTCACATCAGTCTGCATATTTCCTGTGTAACAGACGTGTATTTTCAATATTTTGACATATATTAGGTTTTCATGGGAATCACGTTTCCTCCATTTAGAGTGGATGGCCATCTCATGCGTGAAGCAAACTAATAACACTGAAACAGGTGTTGCAGTACCAATTTCAGAGCTCATTGATGCATAATAACACTGACAGTAAGACGCACTAGTGGAAAATCTTATAAAAGCTCATGGAACACAAGTTTTAGAACGACCAGGGATTAATCATTGATATAAATAGGTGAAAACGAGTTAGCAAAACAAATAATGTCATTATATCAGACTCGACATCTATACTTACCTTTCAAATTAATGTCTGATATGATGCAGTGGGTAGCAGCTGTGTGGTATATGAAAAAGTAAATTACCTTTTTAGACATCTGAAATACATTTATTACATTAAAAACAACATTTTCTGTAGAGTTCATCCCTGCAGGATTTGCACAGCTGTTTGGGTGGCATGTAACACGATCTATAGCCATGTGTTATTTGCACTGAAAACACTCACAATATGTATTTTTGCATTTATAAAGAATCTGGAAATTCACAACATGCTGTATGAAGGAGGTTTGGGCTACAATAAACGATGACGTCTTATTGGCTTATCTTTGAAATGAGAGATTGCAGCTCTGATGGTGCTCATGAAAGTACAAACTAAAAGTCAGCAGCTCAGTCACTTTGTACCGACTATTATGAATTCAAATATATTTTTCATTTTCTTAATTAACCCCACTTCCTAATTAGATCAACTCATGAGAAAGAAGTAAATAGAAAGAGGCCACGCAATGACATATTTTTAACAACATGCTATGTGAGAGAACATGTTTCACATAATTATACATTTTAATGGTAATTTTGGATTAAAAATACATTTACAAACCAGCGTCATGTATATCCATTTGGTCCAGCAGACTTTACATTCAAACATGTACCGGGATAGCCCACCAGCTCTCGGTTATACACACTTTAAACACAACTGCACGACAGTCATAGCTTTTTAATCGCTGCTATTTTTACACATTCACATTCAACTTCTTCCAGGGGGAGTGTGGGTGAGGACGAGATGATATTATCAGATGGAGGTGTAGTGCCTCCCAAAGCTGGTGAGTCTAATCTTCTCTGGCAGGATGATGTTTACCGAGTGTTCCGCCTCTTCCTGGCTTGTGCTGCCAGCTTCTCTCAGCAGGTGCTCCCTTTGCTGCCGGACAAGCTGGCTGTACTTGGCATTCGCCAGCCACGTCTCACAGCGGCCAAAAAACACAATGCCTGTAGTGCCCAAGATGACCAGGCAGGTGAGCAGTGCTAGCAAGCTGAAGCAGACAAGCTGACCATGCGTAACGAGGACACCGGACGAGTGAACCGTCTCCTTCAGGGTGATCTTGAGCAGATCTCTCTCAGGTGGTCTCAGCAATTTGTGGAAGGCATGAGCGGGGAGGGAGTAGTGCTGTGGAGTCAGAGCAAACACTCTGTCCACAGGCTTGGCAGCAACCGGCTTGGATCTGTTTCTTGGTCTGTGCAGCAGGGAGCATGTGGGACCTGTAAACCATTTCTGGCAAATGCACCGGAAGGTTCCATCAGGTTGACCGACACAGGTGCCCTCGTTGGCACAGGGCCGCCCGGCGCAGGGAGAGAGGCTGGTGGTGTCATTACAAGTGAAACCAGTGAAGCCGTGTGGACAGACACATGTGAAAGTCAGGCCATGGTTTGTACAGTTGCCACCGTTGAGGCAAGGGTTAGGCTGGCAGCTGTCAATGCCGATCTCACAGAAGTCTCCGGAAAATCCAGGGGGACATAAGCAGGAAGAAAAGGCTGCTGAGCCCTCGGCATCCATACATGTGCCTCCGTTCTGGCAAGGAGAGCTGGAGGACAGGACATAAGAGACATAAAGGAAAACAGAGTGTCCTGTGATTTACATAAATGTAGAGCAGTACAGTGCATGCTTTAGCCTGTGGTTATAAAACAGCAATAAGCAGGGGGAAATTGGTTTAATCATACGTGTCGATTTCAAGGTAGAGATGTTAATGGCAAATTTACAGGAATAATAAAGGAATCAATATTCCTCAACAGGGGAGAAAATTCCTCTAATCTTAAAGCTACAAAAAAATCTCACTGAATTACCAGAAATATGAGTTTTCACAAAGCTGGAATAAACATTTATTGTACATACATGGTTGTCCTTTCATTTAAGGATTTGATGCATTTGATGTTACATAAAATGTAAAAGTTCAAGGAAAGTGTAATTAACAATGAGCAAAATTTGTGTTGTTGTTAAACGCAACAGCTCCTTCCGACAAACATGAAATTCAAAGTAAGGAAAATGCTGTTGCCTGCTGTGTGCGCTTTATGTGTTAACTACATTTCTAAATAACAATACAGTTCCTTATCAAACATTTCCTTGCTTCCGTCCTGCTCTGTCGTGCACAATTGCACAGCAATTGCCTGACCTCAGTTTGTGCAGGATGAAAATGATAGAGTTGATCACAGCATTTCCAGATATGCACATTTCTGTGGATTTAAGACAAATATGGCAGATAAATACCGAGGTAATAAACTAGTAGTCAAGCTAATTACTTTCTAGAGAGTAGGAAAGTTTTATAACTTGTTTTTGAAGAAGTGAGAAATGTATAATACATTACTTTTTTTGAGTAATGACTCTAACACTGTGATGAATATGAACTGCTACTAGCAATTATTTATTTATTAATCTGGGGGTTACACTCATGATTATTTTCTTGTTCTTCAGGAAAATAAAAGGGCAAAGATGAGGCTGTATTGATAAATACCCAATACACCTTTTGAAACTGCTTATTTTGACCAAGCTCCTGTCTTTTTACAAAAACACACAGTTTATTAGACAATTTAGACCAAAAAAAGCATCAGACCTTCACAAACAAAAGGCTGAAACTGAGACACAACTGCAAAATTACTGAATCAATCGAAGTCAAAACTTGTAATTGCTACTGCACGTAATGCTTATTAATACTGTGATATTGATTTCGGTCATTTCTCTCAGCACTAATGGCTTATTTTGTGCAAATTAAAAATCTGTACGAGTATCATGATGACGCCTCAGCGCTGCATCTGCTAATCTTCTCGCAGCCGTATAAGCAGCAGATCTGATCGATGTAACCATGCTTCACAAAGTGCATGATGAGAACCTGTTATATAAAGTAATCAATATCTGTAGGAGTATTTCATGTAATTACACAAGTCTCTAACACTGTGCCTCAGTGAGTCAAAAGAATAATACGCCATCCTTTTTTAGAAGCCTCTGGTGCCTCGCAGAGGAGCTGATTAATGAAACCTCGTGCAGGGTTTCTAATTGAGATGAATTCCCCCAGAATACAAGTCAAGGTTCAGTTGTCTCACTGTTGGGATTAAATGATTATTTTTTTAACCAGAAACAAAGCCAAAAAAATAATCCTGGATATAGCATTATTAACCACTGAGAGAAGTCCAAGCAATGCACTTAGCTGTATGACATAAGATGTGGAGATGGATTTGCTGCTGAGGGCAGCACAGTGATGCCTCCCAACCTGCGAGGAGCTTATCCAAGGCTGGATTGGATAAGCGATTAAGAAAATGAATGGATGGGTAATTATTTTTGAAAATAAGAGGAGAGCTGACAATTCTCTATCGATGTTATGTAAGCTATTGAATTTTAGGTGTATTTCAAGTCAACAACAAGGCTGCCTGACAGAGGAAAATACATGCTGTGGTTCAGAGTGTGGAGGGCTGTGTCAGACAACTGAATCCCCAGAGAGTCTTTTATATTCATTTGACAGGCAGGAGGAAGATTCCTTCAGGGACCAATTCTGTCTGCAACCCATCTGTGTGCAGGCACGGGATGCAAGGCTGTTTTTGTTGTGATATTATCTCAAATGTCCAGGCAGGGTTTGTGTTTAAAAGCATCACCTACCATTGAACGGATGACCAGATTAATACTCAAATGTTGCTCATAAGCCAGTAAAAGTGGAACGTTTTTAGGAATGTGACTCTAACAGCTTAAGTAGTGGTAAAAGCAAATAGATGTGATTAACCTGAGAAACTTATCTCTAAGTTCAAATATAAGTTCTGTGTTAACATGGCAGGGCTCTTTGCAGCATATTTTCCAATCAGAAGTTGAATCTTATATATCGATAATATTGGATATTACATTAAAAATGACAAAACTCTGATTTTGAGTCGGTTTACAACAGTTACTATTTTTTGCAGGTAATGAGGCCCCCGACAGACATGAGTAGATGCTCTAAAATTTTCCTGGCGATGCTCTCCCGGGGCTTCGGTACAGCCAGCTGTCATGAAAGCAATCGCGGATTTCATCATTATGCAAATGATTTCCAGCCTGTGCATTTTCGTGCACACCTGTTGTTATCCAACTGATTTTGGAGAACCACTGATATCTCTATGATAGAAGCCTGCTTTGTTGCTGTCATCTTTTTGACCCCCACCTCTTCCCCTCTTTGTTGACATTCAACTCCACCTAAATCTAAAAGTCAACTCGCAATCAGCTGGGAGCCACGCGTGAGCTCTGTTGTGCTTGGACTAACACTGAGACAACACACACTCACAGACAGTGAAATAAATCCATTGAAATGAAAGCTCAGACTTAAGAGATTAATGAATCAGATCAGTTGTTTTATTTTAAATTTATGGTGCTGAAGAGCGCACAACAAAGCATCAAAATGTAACTGTCCAAATATTTAGGCCTTTGGAACAATCATATCAACGAGTGATGACCCTTGTGCTACGGTAATATGATATTTCTGAACGATCTGCCAAAGGCCTTGAAATTCATCTTTGATACAGACGGATGTTAAGTGCGCATCAGTTGTGTTCTCCAGCTGCCAAAGGACGAGCGGATTACTGGTCACATTCTGAGTGATGGAGTATCCGAAATGTGACAAGCAATTATGGTGTATTTGATCTTGAAAATTTGACTTTAAAGGATGAAGCCTCTGAAGTGGGATGCAGCTTATGATGCTGCCCTGGTACACACAGTCAGCTACTTTAGGGAGGAGCACAATAAACATAGCTGCAGGGCTACAAATTTACTGAAATTCTTTCTTTATACAACCGAGCTGTCTTGGATTTGACATGAAGGGGAATTGTTTGCCCAAAGCCATATTTTGTGTTTGTTTTGGCAAAGTGAGCCTCATCATCTTACACATTGCAGTGTTTTACAATTGCTGGTTGAAAGTAAAGCATGATTCCATCATGCAAAAAAACAACAAAGATCAAATGAGTACAAAGCATGGTATGAATGTGACACTGGGGTATTTGGCTGCAATTTACTTCATGGCTGACCGTGTTAGCGACCAACAGTTTAAAGTTAGTGGAGAAGGACATTTGATACAGAATATGGGCATAGCATCTAGATCTTAAACTTAAGCCAACACAATATGCATTATCTCTACTCTTCAAGAGGGCCAGTTGCTCTGATTGGAAGAAGTGCTCTGATTGCATATAAGTCAAGGACTGACTTTATTCATGGCCCTGAGTAAATACTTTTCTTATGGATTCATAGTGTTAATCAATATTTTCAAGTGTTATTTAGTCCAGCATAAACTTTAAGTTGTACATTATGTTCCCATTTAAAGTGGAACTGATGATAAATCAGTGCAAGCTTTAGTCTGTGGCTCTCTTTTGATTGGCAAGTCATTTAATGTATGAGTGTGCAGTTTGTTCCACCTCTTGCATCACATCTGGTTTAAAAAAAACAAGCTGGCAATAGCCGAAAGCTAAAGGCAAGGCTTCAAAAAGGTTATGATGATCTATTATATACAGCCAGTGTTTGCAAATAAGCCACTTTTTGTCACGGTTCCTGGGTTTTGGACCAGGGCTTTTAAGTTTGGGGATTTTTAGGTTTCTCTATTTTTCCTTTCTGTTTTCCCAGTCATGTCCCCGTGTCTCTCTGGTCCCTCAGTGTTTTGTCTCCATTGTTGTCTGGTTTCCCTGTTTGTTCTGGCAAGTTAGTCCCGGTCTCTCTGTTTATCACTTCCTGTTTTATCTCGACAGTCCTTCATCTCACCCGCGTCATGTTTTGCATCCCCCGTCTCGTCAGTTAGATTCTATTCAGCTGTGTTCCCCCAGGTGTTTCCACTCACTGCCTCCCTCATGGTGTGTGACTCGTTGTCTGCCTGTGTAGCCTCAAGTCAGTTTATTCCTGCTTAGCTCAGTTTGTGTTTTTTGTTTCTTTTGCCCTTTTGTCAGCGTTAAAATGAAGCTGTGATTTTGAGTTACGACAATCTGCTGAGTCCTGCATCTAGAGCCACACTCTGTTCACTGCAAACCCGTTCCCATGACACTTCTGACAGATATAAAAATACTGGCGGCCGCCGGTGCTTCCCCTCAGGCTCCTACTAGATGCACTTGTGGTACGAATTTGAAAATCCTACGTCGCCTCGTTCTAGAGTTGACATGTTCACCTACCCAGCCAGTGTTGTGATAATAATATCCCATCACCCTTTTACAGCCGAGGAGGTAAAAGGTGTGACTGTTATGTTATGTTTACGATTTGTTGCTCTATTGTATAGTATTGTACATTGTATAGTATAGTCTGAGGGCTGATATACCTACCTACACGCATACTAAATAGCAATAGAGCAATTAGGAAAAAATAACCATAAAATATTTGAGGGAACATAGGGGATAAGACTGAAAATAAGTATTCCCCTGCTTATGAACTCAAAAGTTTTTTGTACCCATTTGTAAGACAAAGTCCTCTCCTCCGGTGGCAGTTTTCTCCAGAGAAGCCAGGGGGGCAGACACACAGGTATCGTCCCTCTCCGGTCTCTATGCAAGTGGCATTAATAGCACAAGGCCTGGATGAACACAAGCGAATATCTGTGGTAAAAAGAGAAAGGAAAAAAAAATACTAATAAGTATGCTGTTTTTAGATCTTGTAGGTTCTCTCTCTCTCCCTGTGTCTCTGTGGCTGATTTTTCCTCTCGTCTTTGTTTCCACTCTCACACTACACTCCCCACCACAGCATCTTGTCACCAAGAACAAAACTGAGAACATAACCAACTGCGTTACACAGGCAAGTGGCTCATATGCTCCAACAGAATAAAAGATGCACTATGCGTGCTGATAAAGAGGTCACACTGAGCTGGAAGCCAGAAAAAAATCTCTCTTCTTCTTCCTTTGTTTCTTCCTTTGTTTCTTCCTTTGCTCCAGGGTCTCCAAGTCCTTTTGTGTGATAATGGCCACTATAGATACTATGATTATAATCAAAATCCTTAAACTAAAATAGGGCATCTAATTAAATGTTAATGTGACTTTAACAATAACATTTTCATCGGGGTATTTTCATAAATTAATAACGCATGCGTTATTCAATGGCACAAGGGAAGGTAGTTTATCATGAGGATGTTGGCAGTTTTATTAGGGGTTTCAGCTTTCCTTGTTGTTGGCAGATTTCCATAGTCAGATTATTTATGCTCCGACTATGCCCTTGGGAAAAATACAGTTAACTATATTATAGAGACCAGCCTGATCTCTCTGGACCCATGTATCTCTAGAGCTCTGTGACTCACCCTGACCTCTTGTATATCAGTATTGGGGGCAGATTGAGATAGGAGTGCCTGGGGAGCCTAATGACACTTACCTTGGTCACAAAGGCTGCCCACCCAGCCCTCCTCACAGATACACTGCCATGCCTTCTCACATGTGCCGTGCAGACAGCCAGGGAAGGGTACACAGTGGTCACAGTTGTCTCCTTGCCACCCTGGTTTGCACCTGAATGAGGTTAAATAAAGGCATTAAATCTGAACTATTAATACACCACCCAATGAGCTTCGCAGTCCTGCTCTTGGTCCGATATTATCTGCATGTTTTTACAATTAAAGTGACATCAAATGCTGCGATTTACGATTGCTGTAATTGGTTAATCTTTCTAAATACCCACAGCAACAGGGTACAGTCATTTTGGCTAAAGAGTAGATTCAGAAGGTTTTGCCAGAAACAAAAACATGAGGAAACCTTTTAAATTATCTGTCGGGATAACAATGCTTTTTACTGTTTAAACAAAGAACAGACTTGGCAGCTGACTTACACATAATGCAAGCGCCAAAAACAGAGATTCACTTGGCTGAATTGTTATTGTATTTCTCCAAAAGCCATTTGCTTCTCCTGAGGTAAAATAGAATCTACACAGAAATCTGAGGTCGTTCAGTACCTGCACTTCCCGGGCTTCTCACAAAAACCCTTTTCTGTGCTGCACCCTGTGCTGCATTCCCAACCTTTGAGAAAGGAAGACATCAGCATGTTGGCATCACAAAATAAAAAACACACACGAAAGATTCACAACAATAAAATATTAAATCCCTGGTCTTCTATTTCCACGCAGGGAGAAAAGGAGTTGGGGTTGTTTCTTTTTTCTTTTTTCATGAACTGACTCAAATCTCTTTGTGTCGCTGTCAGCTGCCTCGGCTGATCGAAATCTAAGATTACCTTTGACGATGTTTGTCACGGAGAGAATTAAGACCACAGCTGTGAGATGCATCGTAATTTCGAGGAAGACCCCTTTTGTCCTGCAAAATACAAAGCAGCTGATATAAAGAGCTCTCGCTTCGTGGAGAAGCGACATCTTCCATCTAGAAAAAGGACACTAGTTAAAAGTTGATTTTTGAAAAAAGAAAACCACGTTAAGATTCGTTCACAATTAAGAGGATCCTACACAAAAAGATCTACATAGCGCTTTTAGATTTTTAGTTTTAAAAATATATCTGTACGAGATTTTTTTTAAAATACACTGAGCTTGACTTTAAATATAAATATAAATGCATATGCATGTATATATTTGGGGGTGATTTACTGTATTCCTGTTTATTTTTGGAAACTGACGCACCTGAACCGTATGCGTCTTCTCCCAAAGGTATCCATTACGCACGAGCACGCAGAAAATGAGAAAAGACATTCATTTAAACACAATCTTCATCTTTCTTTTTTTTTTTTTTAATAAAAAACAAAAACCTCTGACTTAAATGAACTGCCTTACCTATGTCGCCCAGTCGTTCTGCTCCCAAGTGACTTCGACCATATTTCACAGGTTTGCTTTTTTCTGCTTTCTTTCCTTTAATCCAAGCAACGTGCTAATGAAAGTGATACCACAGGTGTACTCGTGGTCTGGCTGCTGAAGGTGGACCTGAAGGTTTTGACGGGACTGCTGCATCGTGAAGCGTCCCAGTGCTGCATGCTCCTCCCACCTTCTGAGGGAGAATGCGTGCACCAATCTGACCCCGTGGGAGAGAAGTGCAATAGTTGTACAGTAGTCACATTAGCTGGCTGGCTGACTTTAGTTTGCAAATGTCTAACTTTATGTCTAACTTTGGGCAAAACAAAGGAAGAAAACAAGAAAGAAAACAAACGAACCTATGTCTACGGATATCTTGTTTGTTTTTCAGGCAATAATAAATTATTCAAAGGTGATGGAGACACATGATTCTTGTACACATGATTCTTCATCTTTATTTTTGGAAATTGGACACACCTGAAGTATATACGTCTTCTCTCAAAGGTATCCATTACGCACGAGCCCCACAGACAGGGAGAAACAGTTAAGGCTTAGGTACATAACTAGGCCGTGTATTTGAAATATTAAAAGTAAGGGTATATCTGAAATGTCCAATTTTGGCGTTAATTATTAATTTTATTATAGTAGACTTATTTAATATTAATACTCGTGTTAACCACAGATTTATTTTGCTAAATATAATAAAGCATTTATTGCAAGAGCTTTTATACAGAACTCCTTATGACATTTGGGCTGAACATTACTTTTAGCCAAATAATATGAAGGAACAACACAATGTGAAATTTCTACTGCACAGAAGGGAAAAAAATGTAAGAACAAGAATAAATGTTGTTATTTTCGTTTCACCAGGTCTGAAAATCAACCTCACATACAAAGAAAAACACACGATGCAAACGAGATAAAAAGCAAAAAAGCAAACAATCAGTCACAACGTATTTTGAAAGCAAGCCAGAGGACACTGATGGAAGAATATTGCACTATACTTTATCCAAACGTCAAAAAAATTGCACTGTTGAGAGAACAGAAGTTCAATGTCATAAATTTTTACGTATCTTCAAGAAATATGGAAATAATATGGATGATAGATAGATAGATAGATAGATAGATAGATGTGTGTGTGTGTGTGTGTGTGTGTGTGTGTGTGTGTGTGTGTGTGTGTGTGTGTGTGTGTGTGTGTGTGTGTGAGTGAGAGAGAATCATTATCCCTATAAGAAACTGGAATTGGGATATGCAGTAAAGCGTGATAAAAGAGAAATACTTTTTTACTTTAGTACTTCAAATTTGTAGTTAAGCGCAGTATTGAGAAAATGTGCTTAGTTATTCTCCTCCTTTTATGCTGCCTAAGGGAGGAACCCTTTCCCCATTTTCAAATTATATTGATTGACTTTCCATACACAGCGCCTACCAGTCATGTGCCGTTCTATTCTTAGTCCACTTATTGCTGTCCATAATCTTCCCTTATCCTTCCCAAGGGCAGGGAATGGTATTTTCCTTCCCATGCAATATATGACTTAGTCTGAGGGCCTAATTATGAGTTTCACCTCTCTGAGATTATTAGATAAGCAATAAAGGTCTTGAAAATGGTGGCCAAGGAAGCATCAGGGGTATTCGACAGCTCTGTCTTTCTAATTATCTTCAGTGTTTATCTCTCTACATGCACAAGTAGGCTATGAGATGCAACCAGTATCCTGTTCAGGATAAAATGAAGAGAAAGAAACCAAAAATGACTAACAACAAGGGGAAAGCCATCTTCTTTTTTTTTTATAAAAATATAATCTTGAGCAGATGTTTCTGGTTTCAAATATGTGTGGGTTTGTGTCTAGACGATGAAAGCACAAGAGATACATACATGAATGCAAATAAGCAAGAAGTCCACGTTTCACAATTGGAAGATGGTAATCTGTCGTTTCTTCTTACACCCAATCAATCCTGAAACAAGGACATAATCATACTGCAAGCAGCACTCTGACACAGGTAAGTGTGATGAAGAAATTGATAACTGTCCTCACATCTGATAGAATCTGTGCGAGGTCTCCAGTCTCATATCCCGCGCTTCAGTTCAGATGCTGTGTTTATTTTACAACCTTCAACGAGGCCAGGTTAACATTACAGCGGAGGTGCGATTTCCTTCAAAACATCTGCCAACCAGATTCACATCAGTTGCAGCTTTCTAATGAAATGTCTCGGGCTTGTACGTGCTTTATTAAAGTGAAGGAGTTTTCCATTGATTTCAAGTAGGGTTTTTTTTCCCCCAACCCTCATCTGGTATCTGATCTGCTGCTGGGTGCTCTAAGTTAAGATTAGACATTATGGATCTGAGGATCCGAATGTGTGCTCTGTGATTTAGACGTTTGCAGGATGGTGTTTTCTGTTTTATGCTAACATTAGCATGCTACCATGCTCGTACAACAATATGTCAAAGGTATTTTAAAAAGCTTAGTATTTTCTGGTTTCTATGGCTTTTTATAGCTCCCGTCTTTAATAATTCATCTTGATATCCAAAGTGTAGTCCTAGTCTGTGTTTGGACAGGGAAAGTTTGAATTTCACTGCAGTCAAGTCTTAATTCTAATAATTATGCATCTACAGGGAAAAGAGTATTTTTCATGAGCCACGTAATATGAGGGTCTTATTTCTAATCTCCGTGAAGTTTAGTCCCACACTGAGAGCTTTCCCGTCTCCAAACCACATAGATGAGGAATTATTACATGTCACAGCAGCGCAGTTTAGAGTGAGTGTAGATCATTTAATTTAAAATCCACTCAAGGCTGAAATGATTTAATCTGAATTCTCAGCACGCAGACACAAAATGAAGAAAAGTCCATCAACAGAGTCTAAAATCTGATTAAAGAAGTCCTCGTTCAGGTTTTGATACAGATCTTTTCATTCAAACTCTCAGATGGCACACTTTGAAAGAAATGAATGTTGAATTATAAACTCTAAACACAGTTGCCTGGGTAATAACACATGTGATTGCCCACTTCTTTCTTGTCTGATGTCTTTCAGGCGGCTCTTTTGACATAATGGATCATTAGGCTGGAGATCCAACCAGGTGGGAGTCAAGTGAGCTCAATTACAAACCTATTGCAGTACAGTAGACCTGCCATTCTACATACTATATATTGATCTTTTACATATAGTATATAGTGCATACACATACATAGTTGTTCTTAACATGTAAATGATGTAATATTACTTCTTAATATAACATCTGGTCCCCTGTTGGATTACAGCCTGTAAGTGATGGTGTAAACATACAACAAGTAACAATGAAACTGAGTGGAGGAAATGTGAGGGATGTACATTTTTACCTAGAAACTACAAATAAATGACACAATAATGGCGCTATATGCTTGGTAATTGTGAGATAAAAAATAATGAGGCAATGACTATGTAATGAGGGGGCGACCGTGGCTCAGGGGGTTGGGAATCGCATCTGTAACCGGAAGGTCGCCGGTTCGATCCCTGGGCTCTCTGTCCTGGTCGTTGTGTCCTTGGGCAAGACACTTTACCCTACTTGCCTATTGGTGTTGGCCAGAGGGGCCGATGGCGCGATATGGCAGCCTCGCTTCTGTCAGTCTGCCCCAGGGCAGCTGTGGCTACAACTGTAGTTGCCTCCACCAGTGTGTGAATGAATAGTGGCATTGAAAAGCGCTATATAAATCCAATCCATTATTATTATTATAATAAAAATTAATTACTATATTATTAACAAACCAATAACCAAGTAATAGCCAACCTTGGTTTTTAGTTTGGTGCTATTAGACTAAAATTTACAAACCACTTAGTAGTATATGGTAACCCTTGAGCAATTAAATGGTCATTTCTGTGTGATATTTAGAAATAAACATTTCTAACCTAGTTACACTGATGTGTTAGTAACATTGCAATAATAAGGTAATGTAAGTTTAGTTGTTTTTACATATTAACACACTATTACCATAGTATAATGCTGAAATTAATCACAGCTTATATGCTAAAACATGTCCTTTGTTTGAGTATAAAAATGCAGTATTCTGTGTTGGGAGCAGGAGCGTTAGCTAATCGGAAATATCTGTGCTGTTTTATATTTAATAATTCTAAATCAAGGCTCAAAAATGCAAAATTAAATGTTTCCATTTCGTTTCCTTGTATTGATTAAACCAAATGCCTAAAAGGTATAATGAACAGGTGCTATTCTTGTTTGGATATTGCTACAAAATGACAATTTTACTAATATTAGAGGCGTTCTAATTAAATTTTCCTTATTATCATGCAGTAACTCTGTGCAAATAACTCTGTGTACACGATGAACCAATTGAACTGCAGACTATGCAGCACCTTGTCACATCAGGAAATTAGAGTCCAAGTATTTGATGCATAATGTGTTTTCATTTAAAGTCGATTTCTGGTTGTCACTGTTATGTTTTTGTGGGTTTTTTAATGCTCCATGTTTGCTGGACTCTGTCATTATGACAGCTTTGGCCAACTTGTCACTGTATGGCAGGCTGGCGGGGGAGTGACTAGATGTGTGTGTGATAACTTGGCTAATTCTCTTCTCTGCCTTCCAAACTTCTCAATATACCACAGTGATGACTCACAAAGGAGCGACCTGCATCTTGCCTCTGGGGATGAGTGGCTTATTTAATTGGATTGGCAAGGCAAAAGGTGAAAGATAAAAATCAGACGCTCACCTCAGTGGCTTGGCTCCTCATTTCTTTTCTTCTCTTTTTGGCATGGGTGCCACTAGATAAACTTGGGAATCTTGTATCTCCCTCAATGAAGCCCTTAGGTAGCTCAGCAAGTGCTGCTGTACTCATGGGTTCAAAACACCGTTGCAAAAGGACCACCAGTGTGTCCTTTTGCATTTGCATGTTTTTAGACGTCATATATCATTTTCAGTAACCCAAATAAGACCCCAAGTTACTATTGCTTTTGTGCATTTTAAAGAAGGTAAATGCTGCCAACTACCTATGCAGGTGTGGCTTCAGCAGAATGAGATCCGATGTTTATTTTGTCACATAAATATCAAATCAATTTAAGGAGTCTTGTAGTTTTAGGATCAACAGTGGTATCTGAAAATGTCCTGGCAACCTGTGCAATTAGTGTGGAGAAATAAAAAGCTATGATATATAGAGCAATGCATATTACCCCTTTGTACCTATGTATTATATTGTCAAAAC